TCTTCTGCCCATTTTTTGATATGATTATCTGTTGTGTGTGTTGAGTTTGAAGGCTGGGCTATTTCCATAGTCTCAATAATACTCCACCACTCGTTTTCTGCCAAAGCAATGACTATCCTAAGGAGAAGAAAATCTACCAAAGAAGAGGATGCTGTTGGATTCCTGGTGCTTGATGAAGAACAGGAAAGGGTGATTGCAATGAAAATGTTCACAACCTGGCTCTGAGGTGAGAGCCAAGCCCACACCGGTGGCTGCCGAAGACTCAGTGCCTTCCTCGGTTACCACCACGAAGGACCTGTGCAGGAACTTCTGCGCATGCAGCCTGGAGTGTGAGGACATCCCAGGATAGTCAGCTCTGCACACGCTGAAGGCTTCCCCCATCCCCATGGCTGACAAGACGGCCTCCAGATCATAACCATCCTCCACTTCAAACCGGGGCAAGTGCAATATCACATTCCTTTCTTTCATATGCCCAGCGCTTGTCCACTCTATTAATTTTTCTGGAGTTATTTGATCTATAATCTATTAAGAAAAAAGGGGAGGGGAAAGTGATACATTATCAATACAAAGTTGAAACACTGCAACACTGATTTGTATCAGAAATTATTAATTTTAATAATAAATAAAAATAGAAATTTTATTTCACTAGACTCTTGTCTTTATATAGCAGGCACTTGTCTTATACTTCTTTATTTAAATTATCTGTGTATATGTGAGAAACGCCTGGGTGGCTTGATTGGTTAAGCGACTGCCTTCGGCTCAGGTCATGATCCCAGCGTCCTAGGATTGAGTCCCACATTGGGCTCGTTGCTCTCCAGGGAGCCTGCTTCTCTCTCTGTCTCTGCCTGCCACTCTGTCTGCCTGTGCTCACTCACTCGCTCTCTCGCTCTCGCTCTCTCTCTCTCTGACAAATAAATAAATAAATAAATCTGTGTATATGTGAGAACTCAATAGTATTAAATGAATTTTTAAAGATGAGAAATGAGTTCTTATTCTATCAATCTAATATATATCATTTCATTTTTTACTGTTCCCCTGTAGTCTTTTATGAATATATGATATACAGTTTATTATATTAAGTTGTATATTTATATGAATTATATATAACTAAAATGTTGTAATTAAAATAATTTATATATTATATTTTTTTACATAGTTGCGATCTCTTTGAATGTCCATGTTATTTGTTTAAATGTAAACTTTTCACAAGCCTGTATCTCTCCTGAATATCTTCAAACTGGTAGATAAGTCCATCAAGCTCATAAATTTTGCCAAATATTCTTCCATTCACTTTACAGTCTTCTAGTATGTATCCAGCATGATAGATGCTGATAGATACTGTAGATCCCAAAATAATGATGATATTGATGATGATGATAAATTTCAAACTAGGTATCCTAGTGCATTTAAGGCAGAAATTACTGATCTCAGTGAGGAAGGCAATTTTTTTCTTTCAAATTATTTCTCTAAGGCAATCCTCACAACTGGGATTTTTGGGGTCAGAGTATAAATACTCTTTTTTGTTTGTTTGTTTATCACATTTTTATTTTTAATTTTTTTTATTTATTTTCAGCATAACAGTATTCATTGTTTTTGTACCACACCCAGTGCTCCATGCAGTCCGTGCCCTCTCTAATACCCACCACCTGGTTCCCCCAACCTCCCACCCCCCCACCTCTTCATACCCTTCAGATTGTTTTTCAGAGTCCATAGTCTCTCGTTGCTCACCTCCCCTTCCAATTTCCCCCAAATGCCTTCTCCTAACTCCCCA